TGAGGTCGCAAAAATACACTCTCAACTTGTTGTTGGGGTTGTTGGACATTGGATGAGATTTGTTGTGAGACTTGTGAAGTTGGATAGACAGGTTCCATTATAACTGTACGTTGAGGCTCGGGTTGTGGTTGTTGTGATCGTTCGAATATGACTTGTTGTTGAGGTTGGGTAGGCTGATATCCGGTAAGAATTTGCGTTTGCGTTTGATATCCAGTTGCGGTCATCTGAGGATGTTGTTGAACTCCTCCAGTAAAATATTGTTGATTCTGTACTTGAGATGACGGGAGCATTTGCATCTGAGGTTGCATCTGTTGGTCACCGATTACTTCGGGTTGTTGGACAGACATCGAGGGCATTTGGGCTTGTTGAGGTGTGACTTCAGGCTGATATTGGTATTGAGTTTGTTGAACGGCTGGGATTTGTTGACGAGGTTCAAGCTGGCCGACTTCGGGCATTTGGAATATGACCTCAGGTCGTGTGATTTGTTGTTGGGGTGACGAGCCAGATAGTTGCACTCCACATTTATTACCACATTCCGCGGAACATCCACTCAGGCAACCGTGCAAGGGCTGTCGAGCTTGCACGCAAACGTCAATGCATGTACTGAAATCACATATCAGTAGAACAACTGAACAATTCATTGATGGATTATACAGATACGGAGAATGAATAACGATCAGATAGGGAATATTATGTTCATGGTGCAAGGCAGCTCAGTTTTGCTTAAAATCCGACGATTTTTTGATATCATTGAACAGAAAAGATTCTCCACTATCAGAAAATTGCATATACTATCAGCAAAATATACTTTTTAATTTCAATGTTAGAGCTAAACCTCCTAATGTATAGCTTATAGCTAAGCGGAACAATGTATCGCCTATCTCTGCAAATCTGTAATCTGTATGAGAACTCATATTTGACTTCTATGTCGATCAACAACTATCAGCTAATCACAACATTTGGTCAGTATGATCATCAAACGAGCACAAAGAAATTGATCAAGTATGAGAAGTAGGGTTTGAGGTTTACCTGAAACATTGGTCAACGCATCGTTGGTTTTGGGCTGAATCAGCACTTGCCGAAGTTAGCTGACCGGACACTGAAACTACTGAAGGATTTTCAGTTATAACGGTTGAGCGCCGTTCGATTTCACCAGTACATTCAGGAAGACAAGCTGGCATGCACGCTGGAACGCATTGTTTTTGTGGAGCGATCAGAGACTCTTGGATCGGTGGGCTAGCTTGAGACACTTGAGGAGCACCACTGAAGACTTCAGCTTCAGATGCCGACAGAACCAAATTGGGTTGTTTAGAGCAAACCTGAAATTGTATTTGGTACCGGAGAGATTTTAGCAGCAAATATGATACTGCTCATCATTACAGATTGATGCATTCACAGGTAATGTGATGTATGAAAAATGAAAGATATCAGAGAGATGGTAATTCTTTGAAGATTTAAAAAACAGATACGATCAAGATGATTTAGTATGATATCAATGGAATGGGTTGTGCGATTGTCATTTAGTGTCAACCGACCTCAGCACACGTGCGTTGACAAGTCTGTTCACATTTGGCACGAGGGTAATTACGTCCGAAACAAACTGATAGACAGGTTTGTTGACATTTTGGGGCACAAATGGATTGAACAGATCGCGACTGGAGTGCTTGCTGCAATTTATTTGCTATTTAATTCTCAAATCATCTGAGCCAGAGATCCTTCTTTGCTTCTTGACTATTATTAATGAACACGAATATTGTTGGAGAGAAAATCTTAAGATCAATTGGAAGATTTCTTCATTATCCTTAATTAACCTTAACAATCTCGATATGAAATCTTAATATCAATTGGAAGGGGCTCAGCACGAAGTTGACGGATATTACTTACCACAGTAGAAGCTTGGCCATTGATGAGACCACTGAGCCGTTGATACTTCGAACAAGCTTGTTGACATGTAATGGCGCATGTTGATTGGCATCTGAATGAAAGTAGGCAATCAATCTATTGAGTAAATATCACCAAATGATAATATATATTACTGAAGTATGAATTAACAGGTGAAGGTTTATATTAGTGCATTGAAATTCAGTTATGCTACTGAATAACTGTCATAATGAAACTTATTATACAATGAGAAAATAGTAATAAATGGTAAACCAACTCTTCTAAGGGTAAATTTTGCTGTAGACATGAACTTGAGCATGAACGCTGACATATCGGCATACATTGCGCTAGTGGGTCAGATTGTGGAGTCGCGCATGGGCATGGCATGGTTGGATTGCATCTGCACAGTTGAGGTAACTGGAATTGAGAACAGAAATTTTTCGGGAATATCTTATCTGGAATTCTGAATTTTAATTAAATGATCAAATTCAATTCATCGGTAAATCAATTAACTTCATCTCATTAAATCTGCTGATTAAGATAGAGTTGAATGACTTTTATGAGCCGTTTATGAGAGTTTGCCTATGATAAGTACCTACTTACTCAGTTGGAAGGTGCTCTTGTTATTGGCAAGTTCTTTGACTGAAAAGAGGTTTTTCTGAGAAATGTGTCTCAGTCTAAAGCTGAAACTTCGGAACTTACTTGAGCACACATACATGATGGTGACTGATTGCTGCAGCCACATTGTTGACGTTTTACTCTGCGTTCAATTTGACTGTCAGATTTTGAAGGTTGTGTGAATTGCTGAAATTCAGTAAACTTATCGTTTGAACACATCAAATGATTCATCAGACTATGAGACATCTGAATCTGTATCGTGTTTAAGGATATTCTGTATTACTTAATGTTTTAAGTTATGATATTGAATCCTGATAATCAACTGATATATCGTTTGTACACATGAAATGAATTATCTGATAGTGAGACATTTGAATCTGCAACATGTTCAAGCATATTCTATATTATTTAATGTTTTAAGCTATAATATTGACTTCTGATAATCAATTGATACCTATCCCATCAAATTTGGTCTAAGGTTGTTTTATTTAAGAGGTAATGGTTTTCATGGTCTCAAATTCAATCCATCGGTTGATCAATTAACTCAATCTTATTAAAACTGCTGAATTAAGATAGAGCTGAATGACTTTTGAATTTCGACGTATCTTGTAGACGACGCACTTAACTATTTTCTGATATCAAGTGAAATTCTGGAACGGTTATCGCAAAGTCCAGGCATACTCAAGTGTATTATTCATTGCCAGAAAATTTATTTATGCAGATGATGTTGGTCTGTTTGTTGGTGAATAATGAATCAGTAACATCGGTGATTTCAGTATAAACTCTTATTGTTAGTTCACTAGCCAAACGCTGATTCATTCATAATTTGAATAAATAATATTGCAAACAAACGTATAAGTGGAGGAATGGACACTTTATATGGACGACGTTCGACGATATTCTTTGTATACAGATGTTATTATTTATTATGATTATTGCTTTACTATTATGGTTATTGTTGTACGATTACTATTATATGATCGTGACCGAGAGAGAGTTTTGTTGTTGGGATACAAGGTGACAGACGATATGACGGGTAGATCGATGGCGATGTCATCGTGGTTGGGATTATTCATTAAATGAGGTAGAGGGCATGCGAATTTAATTGAGAGATTGACTGAGGTAAGATGAATTATACAATAAGTCTGGAAATACTGTTGACATAGGTAGAATATAATGCAATGCAGCGTTCAGATCTGATCGTTGGGTTATTATAATGGGACCGTTTGTGAATGTAAACGGGATTAAGTGAGGTCGTATTTACAGAACACTTCAAAAATGGTATCAATTTTGAGGTGACGAAGAGCAAAAATAGCGATTCAATACATCGCTGATTATGGCCATTATTTGATGCATATGCTTAGATTTGCTTGAATTCATCGGGTTCCTCAGCATAATATTGCCCATATTTTTGAGCCAGTATGGTATGATACCATTTGGGAAACTGCATGGTTGCTGACGGGTAAGTAACTGCGCTAGCCATTGAATTTGGTAAATTTTTGAGAATCGAATGGTACCCCAATGTGAAGAGCAAAAATAACAATTCTGCTAATTCGAGGAAAACAAAATTTTTGTGAAGCTTCCATCAAGATTCGTTAATGACCCCTTCCTACATTGTCAAAAATGGAGTTTTTTTTTTTGATTGCTCACAAATCGTTTCAAAACCATCGTATGGAGATGATTAAATATATATTCTTGCTCAGCTTACCAATATGCGTCATTCGACGTATCTTGCTAAGCTGAGTAAGAATATATAGAAAATGCTCTGATATTCGAAAAAAAAACCCTTAATTTGGAACTCTGGAAATCGCTAAATCCTAGATTTCCGGAGTTTCGGTTTTCCAATTCAGTTTTTGAAAACTCCTCAAAATTGCTACCAATCGAGAATTCTCCACTGAGTTCAAAAAACCTAAAATTAGCCTGATAGCTACACACAATTTAAAGTATATCTATGTCTATGTCGTTGAACAATAGGGATCGCATGTGCTGATTTCGCTAAACATGCGATTTAAGGACATACACCTAGCATCACCATTCACTTAGCTGATCGAATTCACAGATAATATCAAATAAAGATCAATCAAGCGATCAACACTCACCAAAGAGTCCTTGATAACGTATTGATAAGACAATTGAGCGAATAGAACAGTGATTAGGAATGATAACAACGAGAAATATGCCATATTGTTGATAACGTGTTCCTAATTGGGGGTCGAAGTTGAATCACAGCAAACGAGTGGATGGATGATTCTTCAATATGTCGTCAAGTCGTCGCTAGATCGCTGAATCGCAGGAAGCAGAAGCTACTAATCAGAGGAGATGATGCACTGTTTGGTATGCTACCTGACAGTTTGTCCAGCTTTTATATGCTGGAAAAGTTAGGTGAATAGTTGCTTGTGGTTGGTTAAAGAGATGGGTGACTCAAAAAAAGGTTTAAATCATCGAGATGCAGAGCACAAAAATAAACACCGTAAACGCAGCTGGCAGCAGTTGACCAATGGCTCGACTAGTCGCGAACGCTTTTTTCGAGATTTTAAGCGGTTCGAGCGACGACGTAACGATGCGAAATGATGCGAAGAGATATTCGACTTCAATTACAGATACACCCTCGAATATGAGTGGATGGATACAATCTCGTACAGTCTCAGCAGTACAGTCGATCGATTGTTCTTTTATGGTATATTTATTTAAGACGATTAGAAAAAATGCTCCGACGCCCATTTTCAGTTGTTTTCACTGGTTGAGATGACTTGTTGGGGATATATTATATGAAGACCTGCAAGTATTTGGTATTAAGGATATTTGCAGCTATTGGTATAACTCGGATTTTATCCATACTATCGAATGAAATGATCTGTACATGAGTCAAGTTCGACAGCATGTGATCTTGTCGATAAAATTGCTGGATAAATAGTTGATAGCCTTGTAATTATCAAATTTTCAACTGATTTGTTCTCAAAATATATTAGATTGTATTCCTTACTCATTATTCAGTACGCAGTGAATCTTCATGCAGAAAAGAGAAATATTTAGCATTATTCAATTTTGATATCATTGTGCAGTATAGGAGAGTATTCGAAAACCTCTGTGGCCGCCAAATCAGATTAATATCATGAAGTTTTCAATTTCATGAAAATTATTTCAATCGAAGTTAGAATTTCACGACGATAGATGATTTCCAATGCTATTATCGTTAGCTGTGTGGAAAGAAATCTCTAAAGGAAGAAAGAATGTGATACTTGTGATATCGGTGATAAGAGACAAGCATAAACTCGTATGTTTGCTGATTAAATGTATTCAACTCTGAAAATGTGTGGTATCATGCGATGTCTGCATTCAATTTCATCAATTCGCATATCTAAAATTTCAACAAAATTTTCTGCAATTACCATATCGATCGCAATAACACTGATTACTTCATTATTCGACTGCATACTTCTCCTCATTCATTGTTCTGTTCTTATTCGTGTACTAAGAAACATTCCAATAACCAATCCAACAATGTTCAAACTCAAACGTTCCTCTCCTTTCATTTGTTTGTCTCGTTTTTTGCAAAGTTTAATGGACAATCGACTTATTGTAAACAGAAGAATGAATATTTTTTGGTTGTTTGGTTAATCTCCGTCGAGAACGGAAAAACATTTAAATTCTTTACAATTACAGTACAAAGGTACATATGTTCAGTGGTATGGGCAGGCGTTTGTTCATCAATATTTATAATTGATCTTCAAAAAATCCAACAATAAGAGGACTTCTCGTTCCCTAACAAATTTGATATTCTCGTTACGAATGTAAAAAATAATGTGAACTCTTCGATGTTTTCATTCCTATTGTTATGTCAACGAGGAAATTTGTTGTTTTTTAAATGAAATGTTTTCAAAATTCTTTTCATTCCAAAAAAAAATCCAAAACAAAATTGCTCCTTTCACTTGATCGCTGAATAATAAGCAGCGATGTCAATTATAACAGTGAGTTCAGTTAACAGATTGTATTGATAGAAAACAATTCATTTCGAATGTTTCATAAATAACTTAAAAAATAGTTGATTTATCCTTATTGTTAGCAATCTTATTATCATTCTTACTCTCGCTATTAGAGAAGCTAATATTGATAGTTATGTTGTTATTACTGTTTTCCTCACTATGTTACCATTTCATCATTAACTTATTTAATCAGCAAATCAAACTCATTATGAGTTTATGCCTCTCTGTTATCATCAATATCATTAATATCACATTCTTCTTTTCTTGGTATTCTTCTTTCCGCGCAGCTAACGATAATAGCGTTTGGAATCATCTGTCTTCATGAAATTCGAACTTGGACTATTGACTTGGCGAGTGGTCATACAGAACTATTTAGAAACCTAACAGCGGTATGCTAGTCGAGTTGTTATTATTATTATTATATTATTCCCATTATCTTTTAAATTTTGCTGAGTTGACTTGCTTTCAACACTGACGATGAAAACTTATTAGATTTATCGAGTCTTCTCTCTATGTTATACAATCAGTCGAACACATCAAATAATCACCACACAAAAAGAAGGAGAACACAAACAAGAGCAAATTGAATATTGATGGACATAGGTACAGTTTAGCCTCTACAATACAATTTATTTACGAGCGATCTTCTGATAAAACTCTTTCATAAATAACAACAACAGCACAATACAAGCAAACAAATAAACGACAGAATGCTGTTCACAATACGAACAAATTACCATCTGGAAATGTTAGATACAATNATTCTTCTTTCCGCGCAGCTAACGATAATAGCGTTTGGAATC